GTAAATCTAACCACTCGTTTTTACTCAATACGTTTACTTTTAATACTTAAGTACATTTTATGTTAGAAATTTAATTTTGATACTTGAAAAAATCAGATACTTTAAGACGTTTACCCAAGTAATATTCTTAGAGGAAACTAACTTTTACCAAAGTAATTTTATGGTAAGATACTTGTACTTTTACTCAAGTATCACTTTGTGGTACTGAATACAACAATGATTAACATTAAGATCAATACTTTCAACACAGTAATGAACTAAATATCCAAATATTAAAAATAAAAATAGGTTAAATAGTTGAAACCCAAACTACAATGATTAAAGTCTAATTTGCACTATAGTTTATTTATGTCAGTTTTAATTACACAAATTAAGAAGATAGCTCTTTAAAGCTTTGGTGAACTACACATAACTGGAATTGTAAAGAACTATATCGGTWTATGTGGTGAAAAACAAAAATTAAACACTAAAACCTGTTTTTTATAATRTGAAGAATTTATGTAATCTATGTCGATAATACTGTAGACATAAAAAAAATAATTGCGGTGGAAAACAGTCTCTATAATCGGAGATATTAAAAAGAAGAAGATATGTCACAGATAGAAAACAGAAGTAGCGACAGCGGCGGTCAGAGCGCGAGCGCCATTAAAGCACAGGATGAACTGCTAGCGTAGCAAAGATGGCGTCGATGGAGTCTCGAGTCGTCGTGTTCATAAATCCCAGGTTTCCCCTTCCACTTTAAACAATATTTATTAAATAGTTAAGGTCGTCAAATCCCTTTTTAATTGCCACTGAAACTTAATTACTGTGTGAGCGCCGCCATGTTTGTTTTGAGTCATTCATACAGCTGAGAGAGCGTCATAAAACTGCAGAAAAATACACGTTTTGGCATTATTGTTCACATAATCACCCTTACAGCATCACACCTGAATATATGTTAACTTAATGCTCTCATTCTTGTGAATATTTGTCAAAACGTCCGCATTTCAATGTGATATAAACCACCGAAGCGGACTGCAGCAGTCGCCATAGCAACGGAGGAGAGAGATGATGGTGTTGGCATCACAACAGAGACACATCATGTTAAAGGCTGTGGGGGTGTATGYGTGTATTTATTCAGACATAAATGAAATATTTACATTCTGAAAATTAAAACCACACAAAAACATTTCCCGGCACACATCAGAGAATAAACCGGACCCCACAAATTGTGGTGCAATCCACCCACATAAGAAAAACCTTCACTAATGGCATCCCCACCCCTCCCTCTGTCTGGCAGCTACCATTCACTGCTGAGGTGGGGGGCGGGGGGGGGGAGATCCCATCCATCCACCACAAATGTAGTCGTCATTGTGGCAGAATTGCAGTGCACTGGACTGAGCAGAGCAGGGTACCAACCAGGCTGCTGTCAGTGAGGGGTGGGGTCCGGCTGCACTCATACCACCTAGCAGAAGCTCACAGAGAGGCGGACGGGAGAGAAAAGAAAGAGAAGAAAGAAGACTGAAATAAAGACAAGAGAAGAAGGGGGGAGGCTGCACCTGAAGAGGGATAGAAACGGGTAAGGATGGAGGAAGACGATGAGGAAAGGTCCAGAAAGGGTGAAACAGATTCGCTCAGGATTCTGCTTTCTCCCCCTTTCATCTGATTTCATCCCTTTCATCTTTTGTGACATTTTTCTTTGTAAATCACTCATATTGTTATCATCTCCTACATGTCTGAATGGCTCCAGTGGTTGTTTCGTGTAATAGCTGATATTTCTGTGGCTTTTCTGGCTCGTCGTGGAGGGGGAAAAAAAACAGTGGGCCATGTTCAGTGTTACCATTTGGCCCAGTTTGTTTCTTGTGGCTTTTCATAAAATAAACACCCATTTTTTTCCCTGTAGGAGATGATAGTGGAGCAAAATTGACATTTATTTAACCTTATTCCTTCAAAGCTGCCTAAATTTATAAAAGCTAATTTGTCATCAGTGAATGAATGAGTGAAAAAAGGAAACATTTAATGCAATGTTTCAGTTTAAAATGGTAAATGTGAATGTCTCTATAGGATGAAAGGAGACACCCCAGTGAACAGCACCATGAGCGTCGGCCAAGCCAGGAAGCTGGTGGAGCAGCTGAAGATCGAGGCTAGTTTCTGCAGGATAAAGGTGAAACCAAACCCTCTTTTCACACACAAGCAGAGTGAACGCAGCCTTCAGGTGTTTGTGACCTTCTTAAACACACATCGCGTTCGTCCTTCTCATCTGTTCAAACTCGTGGACTCTTTGATGCAAGCATCAAAAAAAGCATCAAAGACACCTCGCAGGGAACAAAACGARAAAATGAAGGCTGTAAAGAGGACACATTTACACATTCGGCTCTTGATTTCATGTGAACACACCAGGCAAATGTTTATGCAATGGAGGAATGGCTTACAGTGGCACATAAATAATTAGTATCTTACCTGTTGTTGGGTGAAGTATTTTATAGTATTTTATGTGAAAATTGTTTCATTTTATATTACACAATACCTAGATGGAGCTTTGAGGTTGCGTAAAAGTATAAATAGCACCAGCAGCAATGAGTTGGTGGTGTTCAGAGGTCACGTTCAGCAGGAAATATGTAATATTTTGTAATGCAAAATTCACATTCGTGTAAAGAAGCATTTTTCACAGTTTAGACGACAGGAAGCGAACAACTAAAGTGCATTTTGCCATCTTAAGACAGCTCTTGTCTTAATTTTGAAATATTTCAATCAAATGCTAATATCAAACTTTGTTAGTTTTTCACGACTTGGTTATTTTGACAGAAATTTGTGACCCATCACATCGTACTCAGTCCCAATGTGGTTTGTGGAGAAACAGGCAGTTATAGCAGCTTGATTAAAACGCTCACAATTGCGTTTTGTTAAAATAATTACTTTATTTATGGGTCATTTAGAATCATTTTTCTAAAGTAGCAACCTTACGTTTTCAATGTTTCTCCTGCAACCTAGCAAAGCTTTTTTTTTCTTTTCAGCTGGTAAATCTTAACATCCAAATATTGTTTGAGGTTTTCGTTTTAAATGATATCAAAAATTCCTCATTACAATGAAAGAAAAACAGGATTCAGATCAAATATCAATGAGTTATCCTGATTAGGAAGTCCAATCTGTGGAACCACTAATGCCATCAGGATGATCCAGGAATCAAAACATTGATTAAAAAACAGGAATCTGAAAATATGCTTAGATTTGAACCAAATTAGACTTAATCCACAGTTTGATGTGATGGGTGACAAAACATCTGTCATAAATAATACCTGAACATTCTGGAAGTGCTACAGCTTCCTGTTTCTATTTGTATTTTCAAATAACCACAAACTTCTATGAAAATAACTTTGAAATGCAAAACTTGTGATGTAAAGGTTTATAAAACGGATGTTCATAAACTGCAGGAACATTTTGGAGATTATGGTTTTTTTTAAGGTTTCTGCATTCAAATCAGCTGTTAGCTCATCAGTCTAATATCATGGTAATAATGACGTCAAATTTAAACTCTGCTAACTGTTCAAGGAGTCTACGAGGTACGATGTTAAAACATTTACACAGAAACCCACTTCAGAATCCACAAACTCTTCCTTTAGACAAGTAAAGGCAGAAAAACTGCTGCTGACTTTGACAAATTTGCTAATTTGAAATTTATCCCAGTTTTATTTATATTCGTTTCTGCATGCATACAGTTCAGTTTCATTTGAACATATTTAGAACTACACTACGAGCTTCAGTATGAAAATTCAGGGAAGTGTGTATAATGGTACAGTGTGGGCTCTCACATGGGGCTTTTCATTAATAATGTGACTACACAATATGTGCAATGACATGGATAGACCTCAGACGGAAGTACACAGACAAGTACATTTTCTGTCAAAAGACATGGAGGACAAAAAAATCAGAGCTCAGAGAGCAAACTGAAGGAATCAAGATACTCTTCTTTAAAGGCATCCCCGATTAGTTGTAACATTAGATTTTATTTGATAAACATATATTTGAACTGTAAAATAAAGACTGTAAAAATACTGTAGGCTGTTCAGTTTTGTAATTTTTTAAAAATATATTTTAACATGGACAGAGCCAGTTTATTTACACACAAAGCACGAGTGACGAGAGGAGAATGTGTAGCGCTGAGCTAATACATATATATGG